AGCGGGATGGTGGCAACTTTACGAGTTGACGCCACGCTCCCGCTACTTCTTCGGCTCGTTCACGATGACTGTTGTGCCCTGGCTATGGCTGGACGACGACGCCTTCGACGGCTGCTGCTGCACAGGAGACGTGGAGGCAACCATGCAATGGGCAAAGCATGGCGGGCGCGAAGGGCACAAAGCTGGACTACCAGGGTTCATCCAGGCAGCGAGGGGCAGCATTCCGAATTCAAAACTTCAAAAACAAACTTACTTCAGCTGGCCCCCCTTTTTTTTTTCCGAGGCCCCGCGCGGCCTCAAAATGTTGTTGTTTTTTCTTTTGTTTCGTGGCGCGACATCCCAGCTGGGCCTAGAACACCCCTGGACAACTTTTTTTTTTTTTGGTCGACCCCCTATTTTCGGGGTGCACCGCACCCCGTGCGCGCGCGTCGTGTGCGGTGCGGCGCGCGTGCGGGGTGCAGGGCATGTCGATGCGCTGCAAGTATGCTATAGACCTGATCACTAGTGTAGGCGGACCTAATCTTCTCTTGTAATTCAGCGCCCACATCCAAGTATGTTACAACAACACGGAAGAATTCTGCTCGCCTACTTAGCGCATCAGCGACAACGTTATGCTTCCCTTTGACTGGCTTCAGTTCGAAATCAAACTGATCAATCTCCCCAGCCCACCTTATCAACTTAGGTGTCATTCTAGCTTTGGTCTTCAGCCAGCGAAGTGTCTCATGGTCTGAATACACTTTGAAATGTTGACCTAGGAGGTAGTGTCACCAATGATTCAAGGCATCTGTAAGAACAAACAACTCTCTCTCATATGTAGAAGCGGCGACCTTCTCACTAGGTAGTCTACAAAACATGAACTCAACAAGTGTAACCATTTCCATCATTTTGTTGGAGTACAACACCTATCCTGTATTGACTAGCAGCAGTGGTAACGATAAATGACAAGGATGGATCAGCGATCTTCATAACCTGGTCCTCTATCAAGCACTTCTTTAGACACTTAAAGGCTGAAGTACAGTCTTTATCCAATTTCCAGACTATCTCTTTCCTCAACCGCCTATGCAACGGAGAAGCTATTACAGTAAAGTTATGTACGAACTTGCGGTAATAGTTGGCCAGACCAAGGAACGATCGTAGTTCTGTTAAAGTACGTGGTGTCGGCCAATCCTTGGTTGCTGCTATTTTGGCGTCTTCCGACTTAATTCCATCTCCATCTAACACATGTCCCAAGTACAAAACCTGACGCTTGGCCCATTCACACTTCCTTGGGTTCAACTTAAATTGTGCGTAGCGCAATTTACGTAGCACTAAACGTAAGTGATGTTGGTGTTCCTCTAACGACTTGCTAAAGATCATAATTTCATCCGCATATACAACAACAAATTTATCTAACCAATTGCGGAAGAGTTCATTCATGCATCACTGGAAGGTAGCAGGAGTGTTAGTTAACCCAAATGGCATA